AGCAGATAGGGATGCCCTGGCTGAAGCCTCCACCAGGACAGTGAAGGTCACAGCAAGGGGGACCTTGGGCAAGTCACTTCCTCTTTCTGAGCCTCCGTTTCTTTGCCTGGTTAATGGGGGTGATGATGTCCCTTGCACACAGCAAGGCTGTTGCATGGCTTCCATGAAATATCACAAACAGAGCACCTGGACATGGAGTAATGCCCAGTCATCATACTGGGTTCCTTTTCTCGTCCCTGGTTGGAATATCTGGGAGGGTTGCCTGGAAGAGGTGCCCTGCAGATTCTCATTCCTCTAGGAGCAAGCCCTCAGGTGAATCCTTGGGGCTTGGGGTTGGAATCCTTCCCGAGAAATGCAGGACGACCGCACGGGACTGCCCATGCTGGGGACGTTTGCTCATTTGTGTGTTCCCCCTTCTAAAACTCTGTTGTCATGGAAATGCATCTCTTGGTCTCTTTAAAAACTGGTTTGGTTGGGATATAATTCACATGGCATAAAATTCCCCTGTTTAAAATGTATAATTCAATAGTTTTTAATGGAGTCACAGGGTTGCCCAGCCATCACCACAATCTAATTTTAGAGCATTTTTATCACCCCAAAAAGAAACCCCGTACCCATTAGCTGTCATTCCCCATTCCCACTTTGCCTCAGCCCCTGGCAACCACTGATTTACTTTCTGTCTCTATAGATTGGCTTTTTCTGGACATTTCATATCAATGGAATCGCGCATTGTGTGGCCTTTTGTGTCTGGCTGCTTTGCCTCAGCATCGTGTTATCGAGGTTCCTCCATGTTGTAGTGTGTGTCAGCGCTTTATCCCTTTTCATGGCAGGATCCTATTCCATAATATGGGCAGACCACAATTCATCTATTCTTCATCCCTGGATGGACATTTGGATTGCCCCACTTTTCAGCGATAATGAATAATGCTCTTAGGAACAGTCATTTACAAGTTTTTCTGTGGACATACGATTTTGTGTGGCTATCTTGGGTACATGCCCAGGAGTGGAATTGCTGGGTCAGAGGGCAACTCTGTTTAACATTTTGAGAAACTGCTCTCTTAGTCTTCCCCCCCACCCCCCCAAGATTATATAGTAGAATTCAGGCCAGAGCTGTCCTTGGGGCTCAGGCTTTTACCACCTAGCTGCGGTTTCCAAGGTCTCTTTCTCTACCCGAAGATTCTAAGTGATGCCCAGCCCACAGTAAGATGTTGTGGATGCAGATCCCGCCCTTGCCACTTCCAGGCTGTGTGATCTCAGGTAGGCAATTAAACCTCTCTGAACCTCACCTGCAAAATGAGGACAAATGCCATTCCTGGCATGACATGGATATGTCATGACAGTCAAAATCAGGGAATGTATGTGAGGATTATTTGTAAAAGCTGAAAAGAGCTGCAGAGATGTTGTTTATTCATCCAACATGTTATGTATCGAGGGCCTACTATTTGCCAAACATTATGTTATGTGACGGGCATGGAGGTGTGACCAAGGCAGACAAAGTACATGCCCTGCGAGATTTTACCTTCTGGTCTTTTCAGTCGCAGCTTGTGGCCAATGGCTCTAGAGTCTTAAGCAAACCATGCTGCTTTTTCAGGCCTCAGTTTACCCTCTGTAAAATGAGTCAGCCTGATCCATCCAGGTACGGTCGAGTCTCTGCTTCTCCGCTCAGGAACATGGGCATGAACGTACCATACAATGTAGATTTCCAAACTCCAGGCAGCATCTTTGGGGGACAATGAGGGTGGGCTCTCCCTAGATGCTCAGAATAGTCAAAGATAATCTGTCCAGGATGAGCACGTGGACGGGAATGAGCTACCTTCCCCCTCACCTCCACGTCTCTGGGCCTCAATGACACAATCATCCCCGTGCAGCAACCGGCCTCATTGGCATGATTCCATCACATCTGCTGGTCCTTTCCTATAACAGAACCCAGCCTGGTGGTCCAGACCTGGCTGCCAGGCCACAGCTGAGAAAGGGGCCCCCCAGGAGTGTGTGTTCCTCACGAAGAACAAAGATGTAGGCAGCAGCCTAAAATAGACGTGGAAAAACAGTGCTTTTTGTTTTCTCTCTGGAAGGATGACTGAGAGATCCGCCACAGGGGACCCAGAACGTCCGTATTGAAAACACTGTTATTATAAGACAGGCAGGAGAGAGCTGGGAGCCGAGGGTGCTGGTGGGAGATAGCAGCACTCTCACCCCTTACGCACTCCACCCTGGGGTTAGGTCCTGAGAGAACCTTGAGCCAGACTTGATATCAAGGCTGATTCTCACTCGCCCATCCCCACCTCACTGCTAACTGTGATCATGTCTCTTCCCTTGCTCCAAAATCTTCTGTAGCTCCCCGTTACCCTCAGAAGTTGAAGTGATTTATCAAGATATTAAGGGCCCTTCAGGTTCTGGTCCCAAAGGACTTTGCTGGCTTCTTCCCACGCCAGACTACATACTGGCAGTCCTTCACCTCGCCGACATTTTCACACCTCTGGGCTCTTGTTTCTCCAGTGCCTTCACCTAGAATGCCTGGATGAGTCCAGAAACTCAGTTCTGATTGAAGCAAACCTGTCGCTACGCTCTACTCCTTCCATCCCAAACCAAAGACCTGAAAGACCTCAGATTCGAGGCCCGGATTATAAGCACAGACTCCTGGAGGCTGTATGTGGCCACATAAATGAATGCAGAGGGCCACATAGGGCCTGTGAAAGGCCGGAACGCTCAGGCCTGGTCGAAACAGGTGACCACTACTCAGCCCCATCCGGTCACTGTTAACATAGGCACGAATGTGGAGCTTGATCTTCCAGTTTTTCAAGAGAAGTGGAAAAGTGGCATTTTAAAGTGCAATCTCCCAAATTTTATAAATGTTAGCAACTAATTCAGTTTTTTCAAAAACACTATTTAGACAAAACAAAACATATCTGTGGGCCATATTCAATTTATAAGTCACTAGTTTTCAATTTCCCTCTCCTTGTTACCAATGGAAGAAACTAAGTCACGATCTGTGTATATATAGGTGTATATATTTGGCCATATCCCTGGGGCTGGATTAGGGGCTTTCTCCTAGGCCGGTCTTGATGATAACTCTCTGAGACGTGTGTAGAGACCTAAAGGGAGTGAGGCAGTCAGGCTGTGGCTACCTGGGGGCAGAATTGTCCCGGCAGATAGAACAAGTGCAAAAGCCCTGGGGCAGGAAGTGCCTGATATGTTCAAGGTACAGCAGAAGGCTAGTGAGCTAGAGTGGAGTAAGAGAGGGGAGAGCGGAAGGAGATGAGGCTAAAGAGATAACCAAGTTCAGCTCTTCCATAGGGCCCAGAGGACCCTGAATTTAATTCAGAATGAACAACTGAGAGGACAAATTGATGAACGAATGAGTGAGTGAGTGAATGAATGAATGAATGAATGAATTACAAACTGTTTTCACTGGCATATTCATATTTGCTGTGGGGGTGTGGGAGTGGCTGATTGGTCATGTTCTGAAGTCTTCAGAATTATCCTGGAAGATAGATCTGTGGTTAACATCCCAAGCTGCCTTCAGTCTTCAGCTGTTGTAATGGTGCTTGGTTAGAAGCCTCAGATGGAGAGGGGTCTTTGTGAAAGTGGGTATGTATGAGAGAGACAGACAAACCAAGAGGAACCAAGGCAAGAAAAGCTGGCACTCACCAAAATAACCCTCAAGTCAAGTACCCTCATCCCAGCAAGCCAGAGATATCAGGCCTCCATGGGCGGACTCTGAGCTCACCAACATGCCCACGAGACTTCCTTATCACCAAGTCCTCACGACCCCCGCAGCAACCCCCAGTGAACCCGCTGGTGATGGCGTGTGGCAAGCCTGCCACTGTCCTTGGCCACACTCGGCCATGAGACTATTTTCTGCCTCGATTCAGGCGCTGGCATCCCAGCTGCCGGCAAGCGAGTCGGGTGGGGTTGCCATGGCGACCCTCGGGCATGGATTCCCAGAGATGCTCCCTGCATCCTCCAAGCCTGCCATTCTGATTGCTGGGGGAGAGCGTGACTCACCGTTAAATATATCACGGCCGTCCCAAATTGGCTGCTCAGCCCCAGCAGCCGGATGTGGGGACAGGCAGCATCTGGGGGGGTGTGGGGTTGGGAGGCTGAGAGGTACGACCTTCTGTGTATCTTTGGAGCTTTCCGCTCTCATCACTCTCAGCTGATGCCTTCACCAATCCCCCTCCTCGGGTCTCCTGCCTTTCCCAATCTGTCTGGGTTTCGATCCCAGCTCTGTCACTTGCTAGCCATGTGACCTTGAACAAGAACATTCTGTTCTCTGGGACTCAAAGTCCTCATCTGTAAAATGGGGGTGATGTGAGTGCCCACTGTCAAGAAATGCAGAGGGTCTGAGATTTTATTTTGCTTACAAGCTAATGGGTGAGCCTGCCTGTTTCATGGGAGCTGGCAGAAAACACGAGACTCTTGGGTCAGAGACAAAGGGCTTTATTACTCACAGCATAGCAGGTGGCATGAGTTCATGTTCACATGGGTTCTCTCTGCTCCTAAGTTTCATGGGGACACTGCAAAACAGCTCATATAGATGCCTCACCACCTGGATTTGCCACAACTAGGGATCCTCAAGCTTAGGAAACCCCCAGTCTTATAAAGGGGCTCCTGGCAAACCTGCCCAGCCTTTGCCCTGGAGAGAGATATTCTTTATTACACTGGTCAGGAAACAACTCTGCCCTCTGCTGCAAAGGGAGATACAGTTGTTCTCTTCTAAGGCTGTTTGCTATACGACAGTCTTGAGAAGATCATCCAGAACAAAGCTCTCCATGTCTCTTGCTCAGAAGACATGCAGACTTCAATGGGGCGCCTGGGTGGCTCAGTCGTTAAGCGTCTGCCTTCGGCTCAGGTCATGATCCCAGGGTCCTGGGATCGAGCCCCGCATTGGGCTCCCTGCTCCGCGGGAAGCCTTCTTCTCCCTCTCCCACTCCCCCTGCTTGTGTTCCTGCTCTCGCTGTGTCTCTCTCTGTCAAATAAATAAATTAAATCTTTAAAAAAATAAATAAAACGGCTTTATTGGGGAATAATTTTTATACCATAAAACCCATTCATTTTAAGTGTGTAATTCAATATTTTTTAGTAAATTTACAGAGTCGTGCAGCCATCACTATAATCCAATTTCAGAACATCTCCAAAAGAAACCTTATGCCTATATCCATTCACTCCCCATTCCCGCTCCCCAGCACCTCCAATCTATGTTCTGTCTCTGTGGATTTGCCTCTTCTGGACTTCTCATAGAAATGGGGTCCTATGGTATGTGGCCCTTTGTGTCCGGCTTCTTTCACTCAGCATCATGTTCTGCAGGTTCAGCCGTGCTGTAGAGTGTATCGTAGTTTACTGCTTCTTATTGTGGAGTAGTATTGTCCAGACAGACCACGGTTTGCATCCAGTCACCTTCACTAGGTTCCTGAAAGAATTCTCCAAGATAATGTTGATGAAGGCTTTCAGGGCACTGTCAGTTAGGGAGAGGGCAATGACTGTCAGTCGCTCAGAACCCTCTATTTGTGTTTCTTGGGCATTGTCCTGTTGTCATGGGCCTCTTGGGAGTTCTAGCTAACTGAAAATCAGAGAGAGGGACAGTTTGGCAGACAGAGTTTTAGAGACTTTTTGAATCACATGACAAACCCACTTCCATGGAGCCAGGCCAAGCCCTAGAAAAAGAGGCATTCACAGAGATTTTATAGGCTGCCTTCCTCCACCTCTTCCCAGTTTCATCTCCATGGCAGCCCCACACAATCATTAAAAGAGCAGAAGGAAAGGTTTCTGGTGCTTTCCTATACAGTGGCCTTGTTTCCTTGGATATTCCAAATAGGATGATAGCTACCAGATAATTCCATGAAAAATATCTAAAATCCTGAATTAAGGGAAATCATCTAGTCTCCACCTTTGTCCCCTTCACCCCTGATCACAGAGGATCTAGAGGTGTGTTTGGTTGATGGAGGATTCTATCTCAAATAGGGAAGAGCCCAAGACTATTCTTAACTATTCCAGTTATGAGATTGGGGAGACATTGGGTGGGGGGGGGCAGGCGGTCAGCAGATGAAGTTTTGCAGCCTGATTTATTAGCCTTTCTTCAAATGACAGGCCCTTCTGTTATTAAAATCCTACATCTGGATCTGGGGTTCCTGTAAGACCCAGGAATTCCTTCCAGTTTGGGAAGGTTACCTATTACTGTGTAATAAGCCACCTCCAAAATGTAGTGGCTTGAAACAAAATCATTTTATTTACGCAGCATGTGCAAGGCCGGGGGGGGGGGGGGTAGTTCATTTCTGCTCCACACAGGATGTCCGCTGGGGTAGCTCAACTGGGGCTTGCCTGCATGACATAGTGTCATTCCTGGTGGTCTGTTCCTCTCCGTGGGGTAGCTTGAGCTTCCTCAGCATGGCAACTGGGTTCCAAGCGTGGTCATCCCAAGATACAGGAAGTAAGAGATGCCAGATTCTCAAAGTTTGGGCCCTGAAATTGGCACCACGTTGTTTCTGCCATAGTCTACTGAACAAGCAATTACAGAGCCCAAATTCAAGAGGAAGGGGCATAAAGCTTGCCTCTTGATGGAGGAGTGGTGAGCAATGTGTTTTAAGACCCACGTGGCTGGGAAGTTTTATCAGTAGGTCGAGAGGTTTTGGAGGAAAATGCTGCCCAGGACTATTAAACCATAAGGGCCCATCCCAGAACAAGACATTCCTTACCATTTCATATTGGCCAAAGTTGGTTTGGGCCAAATTTTATCTTGCCTCACAGGCCAAGCCTGAAGCAAGACCCTACCCTGCCGGTTCTATGCCCCCAGGCCAGTGTCCATGCTCCCCACCCCCAAGGAGCCATGTACTTGGAAATCCAGGATTTCTTGCCCAGCCTTGGGTCACAGTGTCTTCTCAGAACAGGGAAGACCCACACGGGGGTTGGGACAGTGCACAGGTGGTTGCTGTAGGCCCCTAAGCCCCTGCTTTAATGGAATCCAGAGAAGGCTTTCCAAACGCAATTTCCCTTGCCTTTCACCAAAGCTTGTAGGAGAAAATGGCCAGAGCAGTCTGGATATCTTCCAGGAACACACCAACAGTGAGTCGTAACCCCAGCCCGAACTCAGAGTGCTGCAGGACTGGCTGGCTTTGCCGTTTGGATGACCTAGAGTTCTTATTTTTTCAGGCTCTGGTCAGCAGGCCTGTGCTTATCTGCATGGGCTGTCTTAGCAGCGGATTGCCTGCACCAGGGTCCTTTGAGGATCTTGTCTTGGATTTGGGGAGAGAAGACCAGGGTTTGAGTGCCGACTTCTCCTTTTAGTGGCTGTGGGACATCAAGCAAGGCATTTCACTTCTCTGAGCCTTGGTTTCCTTTTCTTGCCGGCAGGGATCGAATTCAAGGATGTCTTGAGGTTTGAGTAGACAATGTACCTAATGCAGTCCACAGTGCCTCATCCCATAATAGCTGCTTAGTTAATGGTAACTACCATCATGAATGATTATTTTCTGCATAATAATGAGTTTTTTGGAAATGGGAGCCACCCCAAGGGAAGCCAACTTTACATAAGATCTCATCTGCTATTTACAAAGACATAATCCCTAGTTCCCCTTTGCTTCCTTGTAAACCACGCATTTGGAGATGGATTTCGCTCTACAAATTTTACCTTGAGCTCCAGAAAGTTCTCATTGTGTTTGTTGGACTGTCTTGAGGAAGCAGAGTGTGTTTTGCCTCCGGTCACAAAAACACAGTGACCGGAACTGCTGCACGGATTCGGACATGTGGCCAGCAGGTAAACCACCCGACCCCAGTGGAGAGCTGGGTTTGCATTTCTTGGAGAGAAAGATCCATTAGGCATTTCAGAACCTGTTGCCCCAGTCAGAGCCCTGTGGAGTTCATCTGGAGACCTGGAATCCACACGTTTGTTCTTCCAACAAATCTTTATTTAGTATCTACTGTACACCAGCCCCTTGCTAGGCACTGAGGATATAACTGTCGAGAAGAGGACCAAGACCCCACAGTTCATGAAGCTTGTGTTCTAGAAGGGAGGGAAGAACAATAAACAATAAGATTAAATACATAATATCTACCCAAAGACGTAATATGTTAGAAGTAGGGGTATAGGTATTAATCGGGGCAGGTGCCATTTGAAATAGAGGGGTCAAGGAAAGCTGTTTTGGGAATGTGACACTTGAGCAGAGACCTGAAAGGTGAAGAAAAGAGAGAGGCATAGGAGAATAGCAAGTGCAAAGGACCTGAGGCAGGAGAGCGCCTAGTATGTTTCAAGAGCAGCAAGAAGGCCAGTGTGGCTGGAACGGAGTGAGGCAAAGGAGGAGTGGAGAGAGGTAGGCCAAAGAGGTGAGGGGCCAGGCCATACAGGGCCTCATGGCCATTGTTAGGGCTACGGCTTTGGTTCTGAGTACACTGGGAAACATGGGGGTGTTTTGAACAAAAAAAGAGTTAAATGATGTGGCTTGGGTTCTAGAAGACCCCTCTGGAGGAATGTGGAAAATGGAGTGTGTTTTATTGTGCGGAGGTGATTGTGTTCCTCCGGAACGAAAGGGTGGCGGCCTGGCCTGCAGGCTATCTGAGCGGAGAGGTGGGCATGTGTGTGTCAGATAATGCTTGGAGGCAGATCTGACGGGTCTCGCCGAGCCTAGAGATATTCTGTGATTCCCTGTTGCTGGTGGCTCTCACGCTTCCCCTGTCACCAGGCTAAGCAGGACAGCTGGCTAGACATCTGGTCTCTGCCCACCTGGCAAGAAGGGGCCTCTCGGTGCCCTGGGACCAAGACCCCAAGTGAGGCCTGCCCTGGTTTCCTCCAGGTAGTGTCTCCGAGAGAGCCCTGGACTGGAAAACCCTACCGTTTGTGACATTCCCCCGCCATGTGACCTTAGCCAAGTCCCTTTCCCACTGTGGATCTCAGCTTTCCTGTCTGGAAAATGGGAAATATGAAGCCAACCCTGTAGCCTCCTAGAATAGTAGTGAGAATCAAGTGAGATGAAGGTTGGACATGAGCTTTGAAGGCAGCAGAGGGTGACATTCATATCGGGTCAAGGTCTTCTACATGATTAGTAGGGCCATTTGATCATTTCCACTGGGAAACTTTGACCTTGGTTCAGGTCAGGCCACGGCCACGGCTAATCAGCATCTCTCACTTTGATGTAGTGGCTCAAAGGTCTGGGACTCGGATTTGGACAGAACTGGTAGAGCTTCTGGCTCCATACTGTGAGGGGCTGTTTCCAGAAGAGGCAGCTAAAAAACCAACACGCAGTCCCCCCAGTCTGTAGCAAGACCAGCCTTAGAAGCTGGGAATTCCCTTTGCCCACATTCAGCAGGACCCACATTCCCAGTGGCAGGCCTGGCCCTGCCTCTGCACCCTGGTGAAGTCATCACGGTCCCCTAGGAGCAGCTAAATGTGGAACTGTGGATTTGCTCTTCCTCTCCTCTGAGCCTCTCTGCTCTCTCCCTGAAGAGAACTGGGACAGGATCCCCTCAGACCAAGAGAAGCCTGGGACGCTGCTATTTTTTGAGGCTCCTGGAATATTAATTTGTTTAAAAACAAACAAAACCAGGGGCACCTGGGTGGCTCAGTTGGTTAAGCGTCTGCCTTCGGCTCAGGTCATGATCCCAGGGTCCTGAGATCGAGCCCCACATCGGGCTCCCTGCTCGGTGGAGAGCCTGCTTCTCCCTCTCCCTCTGCCTGCCTCTCTGCCTACTTGTGCTCTCTCTATATCTGTCAAATAAATAAATAAAATCTTAAAAACAAACAAACAAAACCAAAAAAGAAGACATCCCTAAAATTATGGTACACTTAAAATATTAAATTGAACAAATTCATGCTTTTGACCCACCATTACAATGGAATATAAGTGTGAGGCGCACAAGATTACCACGGGATTTGTATTATTTATCTATCTATCTATATATATATATTTAAGATTTTATTTATTTATTTGAGAAGGAGAGAGTGAGCAAGAGACAGAGAGAAGGAGCAGGGGGGAGGGGCAGAGGAAGAGGGAGAAGTAGACTCCCCGCCGAGCAGGGAGCCTGACATGGGGCTTGATCCCGAGATTCCGGGATCATGACCTGAGCTGAACGCAGATGCTTCACCGACTGAGCCATCCGGGTGCCCTTTATACATATATTTATATTTGAGATTCATGGTGTTCTCTCAAAGCGAGCCAGTGGGAGGATGCCAGGGTGGTGTGGTGTGATGAACTTCATCCCCGTCACCGTGTCCCTGTTTGTTTGGGTAACCCATTTAGAGATAAGGTCAAAATCCTAAAAATATTGGGATGTCAGTTTTTTGAATAGGTGATATATTTTCCGAGTATAAAAGGCACAGAGTTCAAAAGAGCACACAGTGAAAAGTCCTTCTCCTGCCCCTGTTCCCAGTCCTCCCATCCAGAGGCAGCCACTGTTCCCGATTTCTTCTGACCCCTTCCAGAAATAATTTATCCATATATAAGCAAATCCAAATCCCTCTATGTGTATAGTCTTTTTTCCTTGTTTTATTGAAAAGGGAACTGGCTATACATAATGTTCTCATCTTGCTTTGTTTGCTAACCACAGATCTTGGGAATTATGCCCTATTTTTGCATATTGAGCCACCTTGTTCTCTTTCACAGCTGCTTCATATGTCTTTGTGTGGATGGCCCACTGTTGATTTAACTGTTCCCCCTGTTGGTGGACACTGAGGTTGTTTCCAAACTTTCTAATCTAGTAAACAGTGGTGCAGTGAGCAACCTTATGTCCATATCATGAAAACTCTTGTTTAAGACCCTTAGGGATTGTGAGGTCTGAGAGGAATGGCCCCTCTTTTCCACACTCCCAATCCCTTCCAGGAAGCTGAGGTTTGATTAAGGATAGCATCACAAAATGGGGGAAGAACATCCCAGGCAGAGGGGACTGCCGTGCAAAGGCCCTGGGGCAGAAATGAGCTCAATACAGTAGGAGAACAGCAGGAAAGCCATTGTGGCTGGAGTGGAGCATGTGAGGGGATGAGTAGCATGAGATGAGGGAGTAGCATCTCCCTAGGAGATGAAGTTAAAGAGGCCATGGGGCGGGGGGCACACTAGTGGGCCATGGTGAGGGGGGAGTCAGTAAATGCAGCCACATCTATGACAACGGAAAAGACATCACGTTCCAGGAGATAGGCATGGCCCTCTCCTGACCTCTGGTTACTGGAGAGACTGGGGGCCCCTTAGACCTTTCCCCAAGGTCACCCACAGAAAGGAAAGAGCCACAGCCTCTGTGGCAGCACAGAAGAGGCCTTAGTAGACTTGGCTCTGGCCCAACCCACTGCCCACGCTGGCCTGGGCCGCGCACACTTTAGGAAGGATGAGAACTTACGGGGGGCTGGAATGGAGCTGAGCATATCCCACTGCTCTAGCCACCCTAGAACGCTCTTTGCTCCATCTTTTGGTGGTTAAGCCCCTGTCAGTCTCAGCTCAAAGATCACCTTCTCAGGCCACTAAATATGAAGTTACCTTCCCGTCTTAGCCCTCGAGCACCTACCCACCCCACCCATGTCCTTACTGTTTAGAGCCCAATGCAGGACTCGATCCCAGGACCCTGGGATCATGATCTGAGCCAAAGGTGGACACTTAACTTAAGACTGAGCCACCCAGGCGCCCATAAAAAAATAAAATCTTAAAAAAAAAAATCCTCTGTCCTTTTATTCACTGAGGGTTGTCAGTCTCCCCTCCCACCTGTTAGCTCAGGAAGGGGGTGTTGCCAGCCGGGTTCAGTTCAGTCCTGTGCCCCCAAGTAATTTTTAAAGAGACCTTGAAGAAGGAGCTGGAGTTATCGTGGGCAAGAGGGATAGGGAGAGAGCATGGCCCATGCATGGCCCCTTGGAACAGCCTAGGTCGAGAGAGGGAGACAGAACACAGGTTGGGTGGGGGGCCAGGAAGGTGGGGGAGAAGAGAGGAGCCAGATTCTGCAGGGCTGTAGAGCCACAGTCAGGAGTCTGGATTTATCCTGAAGGCACTGGGGAGCCATAGAGATCTCTAAAGCAGAGAAGTGACAGGATCAGATCTGCAGAAAGACACTTGGGATTCTCTGGCAGGCGGGGTTAGAGGAGGCCCCGGGTGGGAACTGAGCCAATCAAAATATCATTGCCTTTCTCAGGTCAGACAGACTCTCTCTCTCCCTCCCCTTCTTCCTCCCTTTTTCCCTCCCCCTCTCCTTCTTTCTCTCTCTCCCCCTCCCTTCTTTTTCTCTTCTCTCTCTCCTTCTCCCCCTCCCTCCCCACCTCTCCCCCCTCTCACTGGCCCTGGCACCCTTCCTGTGGCACCGCTCATTATTTTAATTCATCCCTGGGATCTGTTCTACTAACCTGACATCTTGCTTACAGAAACCAAGAGAGGAGTTGGCTGGGGCCTAGGAAGGGAAGTTGCCCAGGTTGGCAGGAAGGTTTGCAGGGCCCTATCCCTGGTTTGGGGTCTGGCTTAGCAAATAAGACCTGTCACTTACTCGGGCCAGCTGCCACTCTCTGAAGCCCTTTCCTAATCTAGAAAATGGGGGTATTAATAGTCCTTCTCTAATAGGGTTTTGTGAGGTTTAAGTGGGTTAACACAGTGCTTTTCAAACCAAGGGTCAAAAAAGCAATTTAGTGAGTCACAACCACCATTGAAAAAACAAGAACAAAAAATACCCAAGTGCGTTATCATAGTAAGAATCTACGTTGCACGGAGTGTTTATGTCAGGGAGGGGTACTCTCTGGGTTCTTTTGTGAACGTCTCTCTTAACCTGGCTCCTCTTCTGGAAGGCTTGAAATCTGCAATTAAAGTATGTAGAGATGTTCATACAGTAGGTGCTCAAACTGTGGTTGCTGATATTTTCTTGCAGAAGCAAGGAAAGATTTTCTGTTTATTTCACTGCACTGTTGGTGGTTTTGTCCCTTTTATACGTGGGGAGACTGAGGCTCAGAAAAAGAAGAGGCTGTCCCAAGGCCACTCCACCACGCTGAGCTGCGAACCTTGGCCTGACCTGGCCTGAGGACCACCCGCCCTCCTGGAAGCAGGACTCAGG